AACTGAACTACACAAAACGCATGATCGCACCGGCTAGTCTGGTGCGCATTGCCATTTATCTGCATTGCGTAGCTGCAAAAAGCGCATAAAAAGTATTAGCAAATTTTGGAAATATCGCAAATATTTTTTTAAACTTTGGCCTCATTCAAAATGCATTTCATTTTGCAATTAGCTAAAGAGAAAGACAAATCTCATTGTTACAGAATTCGCTCCACTGAGCATGGATTTGATAGCAATGGGAGATAAAGATGAGTTGTTGAACCGTGAGCGAATTACGCAACCTATGGTGGACATCTTGCCAATATGTGAACTTCGAGGTATCATTTTGCGGCGACAGCTGACGGATAATGTGATTTTTGCCCGAATTCGCTAAGTAACGTTTACGAGAGAGACGGCGAAAAGCAATAACTGATATAGTCTCTTCGTAATTGATAAACTGGCAGACATAGCATGTATGTGATCAGCTGGCTAGTTGTCCAACTTCACAGTGGGCAGTTTTTCAGCTACTTTTACCAGTGCTGCATTGCTCGCTAGTTAGCCTGCTGGCGATGTTCGTTTCACCGCTTGAGGGGATGGATGGCCAACGCACTGGTTCTCCAAGAAGCTTTTGACTAAACATTTCGGAATGGAGAATGATTTGATGACTGCGCCTTATTGATGCTAATAGGCCAGACAGCACTTTGTACGCAAAATATCGAACCAGGGGAATCAATTTTTCTTTTGCTAAAAGAGATCTTCATTTGAAAAAGTTTTAGGCCCGATTTGCATGGAATTAGAAAGATGCACAAAGAAAGGTGAAAGGACAGGATATGTGGTTGAGGAAAAAATCAACTTGGTTGGCACTGGCACGCATGATGCCCAGCGAATCTTTGCTGTCCTGAGGCCTTTCATGAGGCGAACGGCTTCTTCGGTATCACGCTCTGCTTACTTTCTAGTTCGGTCTCATATTTGACATCCAAGCCCAGTAGCAGCAATGTGCACCAGTGTTGCGGGCGCGGTCGTTCATTTTTATGCGTTTTTTGCAGTTATGCAATGCAAAAAACGCATATTGACGAGAGGTTGTCT